CGAATGCTAGGTTGGATAAGCAGTAACCATTTATGAATACATTTTGCAACTGTTCATTTGCTTAAAAAAAAAGAATTAGCAAATGTATTGCTTCTTCCATTCATTCCTTTACTGTAAAAATCATCTTTACAGTGTTTAAGGCCATAAAAAGGGCAAATATATAATAGGTTCCACTCCTTGACTAATTTGGTATGATTAATTTATCCCCCAAAGTTTATATATCAAACAACTGTGAAGTTTTATTACACCCAAATTAACAGATGCAGTAACATCAACATCTTTGTTTGTATATGGATGAAAATGAAAACATTCTATTTTTCAAGGATTTTGTATCATATGTAGCAGCTCTTTGAATTATTTGATCAACATATTGAATTAAAGCTATAAGGTTTCTGTGATGAAGTTATCCTGTACCAAGAGAGTCAGTCAACTTTCCTGCTACAGAACCTCTGAAGGTGCAATGGTTCAGAATATACAAAGCTCCAAAAAGAAAAAAAATCCAAGATTACTCAGCAAATAATCCAACATGTGTTTTAAATGTAATTATTGCTGCCCTTGGGGAAAGCTTATTCATTTATACACTCTAATCAGCTTTCCATTGGCACCTCAAAGTTATTCAAGGGCAGTTCAGATCAATATCACCTGATACAAAGAAATTTGTGTGGCAAAATTACCTTGTGAGGCTAGAAATAGCTCTCAGTAATGCACTGAATGGCCCTGCTCCCCAAAAGTTACTAGCCATGTCAGCAGACCTTTCTGCTATCCCTTTTTTTTTTTTACAAAAGGGAAAAAAGATTTTTTAAAAAAATAAAAATAAAACTGTTAAACAAGTTAGATTCTATTTAGAGTTAGAAATTTAAGACTTAACTCTTGCTAGATAATGTAATTGTTCCATGATGTTTGGCTCAAATGTGTCTTTTATACTGCCATAGTTGGAGATGTACACACATTGCAGTAGTATTCAAATTCAAATATCTTTGTAGTGATTACCGGGCACCCAGCCATATGCCTGTTTGTAATACACAAATGAATATTTTTCCATTTACATATGTACAGCAGCATAATCCAGACTAATTCTGTAGACTAGTCTAGACATAGTGCAGAACAATGCATACTCACATTGATCAATCCTGAGTTGGCAACTCATTTTTAAAAAAGAAGCGCTATCTTGATTTGAGCAAGGTCTGAATTAACAAGCAATGTTAGCTCCACCTATTCACTTGATTAAAAAAAAAGATACAAAGGCTTGGAAAACAGTAACAAATGTTTAAACTGAGACTATGCCAGTGGTGGCGAACCTATGGCACGCGTGCCAGAAGTGGCACTCAGAGCCCTCTCTGTGGGCACGCGTGCCATGCCCCGGAGATGGCAACCATCCCTCTTCAACCAGCAGCCTGCTAACTCGCTGAGGTCCCATATGGCCGGATGCATCCCAACACCCATGTGCTCGCTGGACTCTGTGTGCAAGGCTAATGGTGTCAGGCAGCTGCCGCCCCGGCCCCTGCCTCACCTTGCCCTGTGACAATGACACCCCCGCCCTGCCTCGCCTCACCCTGCAGGACGACCCACCTGCCCACCGCCCCACCTGCCAGAGACCCCCTGGATCTCCCCCAACCCTGCCCGGCCCCCACAGGCATCCCTCCCCACGAGCAACATCAAGGTGATCACGCCCACCTTGGCCACACCCAATCTGCCATGACCACCACAGCCACGCCCACCCAGTGGACCACGCCCACCTGGCACCCGGTGATAAATAAGTGGGTTTTGGGTTGCAGATTGGGCACTCGGTCTCTAAAAGGTTCGCCAGCACTGGACTATGCTCTTTGCTCAGATCTGCATTGCAACTAACCAAATATAGCTAGAAGGCTAGGAAGAGTTAGAGTTCTGTAATCCCTTGCTGCCATCTAGTGGCCATTTGGACTTTTGCAGCCCAGATCTGGTAGCCCTGCCCATGGGCTTTCTAAAACAAATTAAACTGAGAGTGCACAGGAAAACTTACTTAACATGGAAGAGGAGAAACATTCACATATGGCTGGCAAGAGGATTATGATTAGGTTTTGCCTGTTCTGGAAGGTCATTAGTGGTATATAATGCTTTTCTCTTTCCTGGTGGAATTTTGTCCTTCCTGCTGCTTATCATTTCCCTTTCCATCTAGTCAACACGATCTCCTTCAGAAAATAGATGAGGAACTACCACATGTAGCTTGAATGATTATGAAATGCTAGTGACAGAAGAAGGGTAACTTTTGTCCACATCAGAAAGGAAAAAAAGAGTTTTCTAACCGCATTTTTGCCTGCGGTAGGGATTACAGAAGAGGGACTCCTGCTTATTAGCAAAAGGCATTCCTGGAAGTGGGCAGCTCTGAAAATTTTGCAATAGGCTCAGTAACAGCTTAAGAACAGAAGGCTTGGTGCAAGATATACTGTGTACAAGTCAAGGTTACAACAACTGCAGGGCAGGTGCGATGCAGAGCTCCATTAGATAAGGAAGCAAAAAAAGGAATTCCAAGCATATTTTTTTTCCAAAAAAGGCCATTTTGGACAAGAAAAGGGTTGCAGGGGGAAGGCTAATAAGAGGGGAGTTGTAAAAATTAATATTTTAATGCAGAGGAGCCCTTTATGAAAAAAAAATTAGCTATGGCAGGCCGCATTACAATGAGTTATCCAAGAAGCCTCCCTAGCCATGTTTGCTTCTGCTCAGCTACCAGCCCTGCACATTGAGAGAAATTGAGCAGCTGTCCCCAAAGGCAACTGTCTAAAGACAGCAGCCCAGCTTGCAGCTGGCATTTCCACACCAACCTTCTCTCTCCCCCCCCCCCCCCCCCCCCCCCCCCCCCCCCCCCCCCCCCCCCCCCCCCCCCCCCCCCCCCCCCCCCCCCCCCCCCCCCCCCCCCCCCGTCCTTCAATAGCTTACCAGACCAGCTTTGAGTCTTGAGGTAACTCTCAACTTCCATTCTAAGACAATAGCCATTAAGCTCTTTCCTGCTGTCCCTGCTCAAAAAAATGGTGTTTTAGGCCATGGCAACAAAAGCAGCTGCGGTTACCATGCAGAAGGCTGTTCCAAGTGGAATGGAAGAGAAATAATGTTTCCGCTGAAACGATCTTCAAGTATTATCAGTTAACAATGTCATACAATCCCACAGAATGTTAATTTAGCTTTGCAGAGCTTTAGCGCAATTTCCTGCAATGTTTTCATGGAAAATAGTAAGCAAATGCTCACTTCAAAAGGAGCTTGCTCAGGTACAGAAAAAAACCCACAATGAAATCCTCTTCTGTAGTCCAAGGTGAATATTTCTGAGTTTTGTTCATGCTTACTTTGAGGCTAAACGGCTTACTCTTCATAGCCAATTGTTTGCAAGATTCTCATCAGTAAACAATGATTTTGACTTAACTTTATATATGGTATCTCTGGATTGTTTCAGTGCCTTTTCAAAGCTGGCATGAACACACAGCTGTCTTGACATATCTGTTACCCAATCTGTCCCCTTAACTTTCACATGGCACAATGCAATCAAATCAAGTGTTATCAATAAAGTTTAAGCTAGATTTTCTTTTTAAAAAATCTTCAGTCATACAGGTTCTCCCTTGAATTTTTAATTTTATTAGGATTTATAAACTAAAGTCGTTTTCAGATCTGTTTGGGATATAGGATATGAGTCAAATTCCATTTGTTTAGTCTTGGGAACACTAGGAGGTTTTGCACCCACATGCGACCTTCATATTTGCCTGTTTTAATCTTTTGCCATCAATTTTGCTTCTGGGCACATACTGAAAAATACTCCATTCACTGAGTATATATGTCCTTTATGGGACAAATTCTTTGATGTTTTCTATGCTGGTTCTTTAATTATTTTTACTGTAATGAATGTGGCAGGTATATTTGATCAGTTCTCTGTACCCATCAGATCAGATTTCAGCACTTTTGAAAATTGGCAAAGTTTTCTGCTGCTTCTCCACTTCAATGGTATGCTTAATCCAACTCAGTCAGCTTCCAAGTTACCCTCCATCTCATAACTGTTCATGACTGCTGATTAGCTTGCTGATTTTAAGTTGTTGCTGTCTCTGTTCTGCATGCTCACTATTTTATCTCATCCACTATCCTGAAATTAATAAAATTAAATCTAATCATGTAAAACCAAGGTGGATCTTTGAAAAAAATAATCCACTAGGATGTGAGAGTTTTTAGATGCAGGAGTCATGAAAAGCAAAGTTAAACATTATACAAAATTCTTTAAATTGCTGCCCCTGTTTCTTTGCAGAGGTGGCAATCTATTGGTTTTCACCAAGCTAAAATCTGTAGTCTACGGCACTTTCCATTTCTTTTCTCTGAACTCAGTATCAAGATGATTTTTATTCCATCTTTCTGGATAGTAAAGAATGGAATACTGTATTGTATCAGCTATTTACTCAAACTTTAATATTTCTGACCAATTGATGAATATGGGAAGACTGGTCCTTAGAGAACATCATTTCCATACTTTACAATTACGAAGGTGAATGGGATCTCTAAAATCATTTAGCTGATCTCAACCTAGCTGAACCTTCAAACCGACTCAGAAGGCCCATTATCACAGCATGCTGTGTGCAGTATTATCTAGATCAGGCATGTCAAACTGCCAGCCCACGGGCCAGATGCGTTACACTGAAACCGCGCCCACCCCATTGCCAGCAATGGGGGAAAAGTAGCAAGTTTGACATGCCTGATCTAGATCAATGAAGTTGAATCAACCCCTTTCATTGTCAAATGGATCATAACCTTCAGTAAATCCCTTCTAATATTGACTTGAATTTCATTTTTTTTTTCTTTTCCTTTCCTTTCCTTTCCTTTTTCTCCTTTTCTACCATCACACCCTACCCTTTTATTTCCTATATTGTCATACAACATTGTCAAGAGTTTTCAACTGAATATTGCTATATGATATTTTTGTTTGTGTGATTTTGTGTTAGTGTTGATTCCTGGTGAGTGCCTGGACTAGTCCATGCAGTTTTCCTGGCAATGTTGTAAAGAAATTGTTTGCCATTTCCTTCTTCCTTTGTATGTAAGTTTCCTGCCTTCTAGCTTAGAGTCTTAATTACTACACTAAATTGGCTTTCTGTTTTATAATACTTCCATCACATTTCCTATTTTCTGTCTCTTTATACACTTACCTATAGCTCTTCAATATATCTGTCGGAGAAAATTAAGTGAAGCATTTGGATTATCCTTAAGCTTCCTAACTAAGATGGGACTGCTTAGGCCCTCAGAAGAAACTGTAGGTAAGGTCCCAAAAGATCCAGTTCTTTTTAGACAGGTATCCTGAGAAGAAGGAAAGAATTTTCCACATACCAATAGGAAATAAAATTATATTACGTTTAAATTAACAATATTGCATGTTTTGTTACTTCTTTGGAGTAAAAAGCCGTTCAGGTACACATTTTCTTTCCATGTATGGAAAAAGGGAATCTTCAGTTCTGCCTTCAGCAGTATTGAAATCATAAAGAGAACATCAGTACACGCATTAACAGACTATATAACTTTATTTGTTTATTTTGATTAGGCTAAGAGAAATTTGTACACTGAAATTTCAAAAAGACCTCAGGCATGCACATGAACCTTGTTAGAGGTTGTTCTACATAGCATTCTCTTTTTTTCCATAGGAATTTCCCCAAACATTTACAACCCATAGTTTTTTTCTGTACATACAGCCTAAACCATAGCAACCTATGATTATGTCAAATTTACATTGTGCAAAATCAAACATAAGAATAGTGGTACAACAACAAAAAAAATGTAACAAGTATATTTCATTGTAAGACATTCAGATAGTTTTGGTCCTTCCATCTCAAACCATATTGATTACTAGGTAGATCACAACAATCAAATGGCTAGGTAGCGATCTATTACTTTTCTAAAATGAACCCGAAATAAATTCTTAAAAGATAATGTCAAGATAATGTTATTACTAGAAGGCAGAAAACTTAAAATCAACCATCAAGTCCCTAAAAAAGAAAAGGCCTCATTAGATGAAAAGGGCCTTACTAAAAAAAACAAACAAAACAAAAAACAAAAAAACAAGCCCCCAAAACAAAAGGCCTGACCCATTTTTTGGAAAAGAATTTTCATCAAACGTTAAGTGATTCATTCTGACCAAAACAAAACAAAACAAAACAAAAATAACACCTGGGAAATTTCATGAAGAGCAAAAACTGGGTGTTTTCATTTTAAAAAAATGTTTATAAAGTTTTATAAGAAGGACACAACCAGTGTATTCCACAAAGACAAATGTTTACACCCCAGCACACAGAAAAAAAGGATGTTTTCAAAAAAGGTGCAATCCTCCCCAATTATTTACATTTTGTTTCTAATATAAATCCAGGGCTCCAGTATGTAAATAAATATACATTACTATGTATATCTTTCTAGTGCTGCTTACCAACAAATCACCTGAACTTGGATTTTTAATTAAAGCAAGATAATTTGTAGGTCACAGAAAAGAGCTAGGGGAAAAATTAATAGAAATTGTCCAATCTACTTCACTTTTAGTCTACCTTGCCTTGGCAAACTGTTGAAGGTGTCAACGTAGATGGAAACATCAACACCTTGGCATGCATGAAAGACAAGTCAGGAAGGCTAGAAATCACCTTGGCAGCTTCGTCACTGAGTTGTTCTTCCTTTTGGGGTTTTCTATTTAAAAAAAAAAAGGTCGAAGACAAATTGTTTAGTATAACCAGAACCAGTTACAGAAGAACACTATTTAGAGAAAATGTTTCCATCGACAAGTTCTATTTGCAGCACTGCTCATTGAGGCAAAACTCACTGCTGGTATTGCAACAAGAAAAATGATATGGTTCATCACACACTACTTTTTGAACACAGTTCAGGACTTTGTCTTGTCAAGTCAACCCTGCACATACAAGTAAAGCCTGTGCAAGAGAGTAATCCCAGTTTTATCTTAAAATAGATTCTGCATCCACACACATAAATCTAAAATTGTTCTGTTGACTGAAATTTCATTCTGACATTCTGAGTTTAACTACATAAAGAATATGTAGGATTCGGTCAACATTTTCTTCATTGAAGACGCTAACTCCCATTAACTAAGGATCCGAACTTCTGAAAACCATCATTTACTGTATGTGGAGAGTCTTCATAGATAATGTGGGGTCTCCACATCAAGAAATGTATGGAGTATAGAGCAATAAGAAAACAAAAATCTCCTGCCCTTCCCTGTTCAAAGGAAATTCTGGGTCATGATTGGGAGGGAGAGCTGGGGAAGAGGGTGTCTTTCTTTTGTGTAAATACAACATTTCAAGTTCAACTGTTGCCAAGCTTGATAACAAGATGATTCTCTTGTCCTTTCAAGCCAGTCATATGACGGTAAGTTTTATTGCTCTCCACTGTTCAAATGGAACTGCATGAAGAACAAGCAGTCTGCTTATACTCACTCTTAATTTTAAATTTGTTTCCTACTATCACATGCCTCACTAAACACAGAAAGACCTTAAATTTCCTTTTGGAATTGATATCTCTTTATAGTACAGCATGATATAAGGCTCAAATCAGGATGGAAGCGGGCATAGTATATTCATAAATCAAGGGCTGATCTCAAGTTTGCCATTCTCTATTGCTCATCATTCTGACCAGAATAAGCAGGCAGACAAAAGTATAAATACACTTAACCCATTCCTTCAATCACATATTGTTGTGCACTCGGGCAGACACAAGTCCCTTCAGGTTACCTCAACATATACAACTGTGCAATGTTCACAAATAGATGCAAAAGATCTATGAATCTGCTTAATTTAACCCCAAATGCATATATTTACTTGAGTACCATGAGATTTCCATAGTGGCAATTTAAGTCTGCATACTCTGCTGACAATATAGACTTAGCACTCCTCTTTTTAAGAACAGGGTTCTTTCAAGTGGCAATACCAAAGTGTAAATACATTCCTGCAATACAAAAGTATATTTCTATTTCTATTTGTTTAAAATATTTGCAGAGCCAAAAATCTCACTAATGTTCCTCCTGGTTAAGTTTTTGAAGGAGGAAGGTGACAACTACTATACACTCTCTTTGTTCATAATGCTTTTTGCAGATTTTAATGGCTAATATTATTCTTTGGGAGTGGGAACACTTTATGGGCATTTTTTTAGATCTCTTTTATTTGCCTGCCAGTACAAAAGCAGATATGTTTAACAATGATAAAAGCAGTATGTTAACAGTAAGAAAAAAAGACAAAAATCACTATTGAGGTAATACTTTTTAAAAAGTCAAATGAAGGTTTACAAAAATAAGCTCTGAGATTTCCAAGACTTCATCACCCAAGATGAAGAGAAGAACAGTGGAGTTGGTGTTAAGCCAAGTTGCATCAGACTCCGATCTTTGATGATGAGAGTGCCCAGAGTCATGTGTCAGGCTTGAGTAGCAGAATGAATTTTGGGGAGTGGGAAGCATAAATAAAATAGGATGCAATGCCAGCATGTTGCACTTTCCTAATTTTGTTCTGGACCTACTGCAAGGTATCTGCAGAGCTTTCACAAAGGCTGCTGTAAGTGATAAATATAATAATAGGTTGTTTGTAAATATACAACTCTTTTTGAAAAAGTAGGCCTTCTATCAAGGTTTCTTTGATAGAGTAGTAATTGCTATAAGAAGGGAAAAACTGAGAACTGCATTATACCATACTAGATAGTACAAATAATTTCAGTTTGATCCCTCCAATTACTAAAATCTATTTTTGTACACATTTTGGTCTGTTTTTAAATTTTAGTATAAGTTATACTGAGTCCTGAGAATCTATTTTTTTCATAAATACATTGAAGGAAAAAGTAGTAGATCCTTCAAGAGTTTTACATTTAAAAGTTCCATCAACTTCTCTATGAACTTTGCTTAAACCTCTTCCAGTAAAAAAAAAATCTTTTTGAATGATGGACTAAGGTATAAAAAATCCTCTAAAATTGGAGTAACTGCATTCTCAAATCATTGGTAATAAGATTAATGAATATACTTGCAGGTATATGGAGATATTTAGGTTGGGTTCAGCTTACCTGCAAGCAAGCTTCTCCTCAAATATTTACAGTAATACTTTTTAAAAGTGCCACTATACTCTGTATATACTTGTGGATAAACCAAAATACAATGAAAAATGTGCTAACTGCGGATAAGCTAAGTGTGAAAATTAAAACATGAAAATTTCAAGGGTTGTCTTATCAGTAGATGGCACATTTTGTCATAGTATTTTGGTTAAAAATTTAAGAATTGGCTTATCCATGGAGGGGCTTACACACAAGTATATATGGTGCATTACACAACAATATTTGTTCCTCTCATTTGCCTTCATAAAATTCAAGTACTAAAGGTATCAAAATAGCTGTTTTTCATTCATCTGATCCAGGTTTTAATTTCCTCTCCGATTTTAATGCCAAACACACTTTCCTTGAATGACAAGTTTAACTCATTCAAAAGCTGGAATTTAGCCACAAAGTAACACAACTTCTTGTTTTTTCTCCATGTTTTTAAAGGACCTAACAAGATCATAACTTGTTCTATATAAATATAGCCATTTCTTTTTTAAATCTGCAAACTTTGAAATAACCTACTTACTCTTACCAGCTAGCAAACATCTTCATGTAATAGTTGGGGTAGGAGTAAGGGGATTCTAGTTCAACACACAAGATGGTAAACAATCAAGAACGAAGAAAACTGGATTTCATGAAATAGGTCAATTTGTCAGCTGCTACTTGTACTTCATCTAAACTGGCACCAATCTTTTCGCTTGCAACACTTTTTGGGAGAATAATATAATATGTGCCTTGTACATTTGGTCTTACTCAATTATTTTTTTTTATTAATCCCATGTGCTACCAGTATGATGGATTTGATTTCTATCATATTAATTTAAATTACTAATAAGGGAGATTTAATTTAACCATTTAGATCTGTGCTTCTCAACCTTGGCAACTTCAAGATAAGTGGAACTCAACTCCACAAGTCCACGTATTTTAAAGATGCCAAGGTTGAGAAACACTGATTCAAATCACAATTTATTGACTAGTTAGGAACATTCTGTAATCATTTCTAGTAAAAGTGCATATTACTTTTTATATAGCTTTAATGCATTTTCTTCAATATTTAAGAGAATGATGCATTTTTATTTTTGGAATGTCATTAAAAATGTGATGATGATCTTAGTACCAAGTAAGCAAATATATACGTGATTAGTAGTTATTAATGAACATAGAGGTTTGGAGTCTATTTTTGCCCTGATTTGGTGCAAAACAATTGTCACTCACTTTTATATTTTACTAATAATCTTGTTTGTTCTAGGTACTCACTTCAATAAACAAAATGTTGTTTTTTAAAAAAAATATGTACATGCATTTGTTTAATTATCTGTATTATTAATAAACAATGGCTCTACTCCCATGACACACTTCACTGAGCAATAGGAAGTTATGTTTGTCTAAGAACATCTAAATGAGATTAACCGACTCAGAAGGGCAGCTGTTTGGGTCTCTGTGAGGCAAGATGGCTACCTGGCGGATTGTCTGGCACGCAGTATCACTGACTTATTAGGATGCAACTTGGGGAACAAAAATATGAACAAGCAGATGAAATGATAATCAGGGCCAAAGATCTCAAGAGAGGGTTTAAGAGAAACCACCTTAGGCCACAATGTGACAATTCTATTTTTGCTCAGATATTCTACAGTGATTTTGAGAAGCTTATCCAAAAAGCTCTGATCAGAGAAAAACATTTATGGTTCTCATAAAAGAAGAGGGTCGCAACTGGTTCCCCGAAGCTCTCATATGCAGAAATGCTTCTTTCAAAATCTTCAATAAGTAGGAGTATTTCTTAAAATGGTGCTTCATTCAGGCTGCAAGGCCATACGTTTCTTTGCAAATAATTACAGTTGCAAGAAAACGTATGTGAACCCCTTGGGATAACGTGGAGTTTTGCATGAATTGGTCATAAAATGTGCTCTGAACGTCATCTAAGTCACAACAATAGAAAAACACAGTCTGCTGAAAATAATAATACACAAACATTACATGTTGCCATGGTTTAATTGAACATAACATGTAAACATTTACAGTGCAGGGAGGAAAAAGTATATGAACCCCTAGCCTAATGACGTCTCCAAGAGCTAATTGGAGCCAGGAGTGAGCCAACCTTGACTCCAATCAGTGTGATGATATTGGATGTGTTGCTGACAGCTGTCCTGCCCTTTAAAAACACACAGCTGTTATGGGTTTACTGGTTTCAAGAAGCACTGTCTGATGTGAACCATGCCTTGCAGAAAAGAGCTCTCAGAAGACCTACAATCAAGAATTGTTGACTTGCATGAAGCTGGAAAGGGTTACAAAAGTATCTCCAAAAGCCTTGATGTTCATGTGTCCACGGTAAGACAAGACTGTCTACAAATGGAGAAAGTTTAGCACTGTTGCTACTCTCCCTAGGCGTGGTCGTCCTGTAAAAATGACTGCAAGAGCACAGTGCAGAATGCTTCTTGAGGTAAAGAAGAATCCTAGAGTGTTAGCTAAAGACCTACAGAAATCTCTGGCACATGCTAACATTTTTGTTGACACATCTACAATAAGGAAAACATT